ACCTTGTTGCATCCTCCAGAAGCAATTACACCTCAAGGAAATCGTGATGGCAAACATTTGCCTGATGAACACAGTAAAGAAACAGGCTCCGATAATGAGAAGAATAAACAGGCAGAGTCCAGAGTAACTGTGGCAACTGGGGCCGGCGAGAGAGTTTGCCTCAGCGTTGTACCAGTGAAAGTGCAAATAAAGGGACGAGAGCAACCTTTAGTTGTAACATATGCTCTATTAGATTGTGGCTCAGAAGTTACACTCATTCATCAGAAATTGCAGAAAGAACTAGGAGCCCATGGTCAAAGGATTGATTTCTTCCTTTCAGGGATAAATGGGTCTAAACGAATTGACAGTGAACTTTTGGATATCGTAGTCACATCCATGGACGGGGTGACATCACTGGAGTTATCAAATGTACGGTCAGTTGAGCAAATGCCTATTGCTGGAAGTTGTATTGCCCGCAGAGAGGATATTCAGAGATGGCATCATTTGGATGGTGTTCCAATAACAGAATTAGATGCGAATGAGGTAACATTGGTTATTGATTGGTCTGCAGGAGAAACCCAGCATATTCGTACCACTCGAATATCGCATTGGTGAAGAGAATGATCAAGTGGCGATCAGGTATAGCCTGGGATGGACAGTTGTTGGCCCTCTCGGGGAAAGGAGAAAGAACAACTGCTATAATACGAAATTTGCTCGGACAGCAACACAAAAAGCCCTGTGACAAATGTGAAGCCCCGAGTCAGACAGTGTCTGTTGAATGAACCAGAACAACCTATGGAAGAGGATTATCAGCTTGAGAACAGTTCGGATGAAGGTATTTCAATGCTACATTCAAATGGGTCGGCCTCTGGGTTAAAGTCGTGTTTAGTTGAAGAAAAGTCCATGCCGCAAGATCTGAATCATCAGTTGGAGAGACTGTGGAAAACTGATTTTGAAGATTGTATTTTGGATACCAATGTCTGTCAATCCATTGAAGATAGAAGAGCTCTGACGGTGATGGAGAAATCGCTAAAAAAGGTGGATGGTCATTATCATGCAGGTCGCCCTTCCATGGCGACATAAACCACCCTACTTACCTAACAACAAGGAAATGGCACTGCGGAGAGGAATGGTGTTAAAGAAACGTTTACTAAAGGATGAAAGTCTTCTGAGAAAATATGCTTCAACGATAAACGATTATCTGGAAAAAGGATATGCTGAGAAGATACCGCAAGAACAGCTGCAATCAAGCAAAAACCCCATTTGGTATCTCCTGCATCACCCGGTAACCCATCCTGCAAAACCTGAGAAGATAAGAGTAGTCTATGATTGTGCCGCCACCTACAAGAACACCTCTTTAAACCAGCAGTTATTACAAGGTCCTGACCAAACAAATCAGCTTGTCGGAGTGTTAATTCGGTTCAGACAGGAACAAGTGGGACTAGTCTCAGACATAGAAGCTATGTTTCACCAGGTGCTGGTTGAACCACAGGACTGTGATGCTCTTCGGTTCTTATGGTGGCCGAACGCAGATCTCTCGGGAGAAATGAAAGAATACAGAATGGTCAGACACTTGTTTGGTGCGACATCCTCGCCAAGCGTGGCGAATTTCTGCCTAAGGAAAACAGCTGATGATCACGAAAGCGAGTTTGATCAAAGTGTAGTGGATACAGTACACAGCAAAAAATCATTTTCTTATCGAGAAAATATATCTTATCTTAAGAATTTTTTTCTTATATAAAGAAAATTTTTCTTAAACCGAGAATTTTTTTTCTAACTCTAGGATATAAAATCTCCTTTAGAAAGTAATTTCTTAAAATAAGAAAGTCGTCAAGCCACAGATTTACAGAGTTTAAAACAAGAAATTATATTCTTATGAATTAGAATTTTTTTCTTATACTGAGAAAATAATTTCTTGATATAAGAAAGATTATCTTAACTTCTGAAATTCTCAATATGAGAAAATTAATCTTGAGTAACATCCCAAATATTTCTTAAAATAGGAAAGCTTGCCTTATCTGAATCTGGTTTCAAGAAAATAATTTCTTGGAATAAGAAAGATTATCTTAACTTCTGAAATTCTCAATTTGAGAAAATTAATATTGAGTAATATCCCAAATATTTCTCAAAATAGGAAAGCTTGCCTTATATCTGAGTCTCGTTTCAAGAAAATAATTTCTTGGAATAAGAAAATAATAAGAAAACAAGAACTTAATGGGGTATAAAAAATTGATACAATAGAATTATTGTTATTTACAATGAACAAATGTCCGCCTCCCTTTATAAATTATATTAAGCTAAGTCTTATGTACAAACAATTTTTCCAAAAAGAAGCTCTTTAGAAACAAATTTCATCATGAGAGAAATGTGTCACATTTAGCCTTTCAATCGGTGTGCTTGGTTATTGAACTAAAAACACCACCTTAATTCGCTACCCATGTACAATAATATTTGATATACTAAAAGTAAGATTTACAATGCAAAAGTCAAAGATTGATATTTTAAATTTTAATTATCATGGAAAGGAGCATGGATTGCAACATAACGTCGTGTGCGCGACATATCGCGCGTGATCACGCGGTCAACGAGAGAGCGCTAAAGGCATTGTGGGAAGAAGCGCGTCCTTTTCAAATTTTCGTCGCTGTTGTGTTACGCGTCTTCACTGATCGCCGATATTTTATCGATTTTTTTCAATTCATACGTTTTAATATGGATCAAGAAACGACAAGTTTGCTCGAACAAATCGCTAGAGTGGTCAAAGAATGCGAGCAGATATTGGAAGGTATTAATTTTGTTGAGTATTGCTACAATTTAATAGTATTTTAACCGAACGTACTCTATTAAATTCGTTACGAACTAAACTCAAAATTCTGCTACTAGTAAACGAATAGTAAATATCGCACGCTTAAGACTGACTTATAATTAGCTTAATCGTATTTTAGTATGTTGTTATTTGCCTTTCTATACTCAGATGCTGTTACATGTAAACGTTTATAATTTATCAGATATTTGTGCTGTGTGACCTGGGGTCTGGTATCTAGATTCCTCTCCCCCACACATATTGCAATTGAAAAGTGGTACACCCTGGTAAATATTTCAATTTTTTATAGGAACTGGCATTGTAGAAGATGAAGAAAGATATAGATATACTCTATTTTACTGGAAATGGAAATGAAAACAAGCCTTTGAAAGTAAGACTATTTTTAAGATGCATGTTTTTTACCATTGTAATGTTAACTAAAACATTAATTATTTTTTATTGCCTTGATTTTAATGCATTATAAAGAAATACTTTTTCTCTTGTTGCATGGTATTTGATAAACTATATGATTATGGCCTACATTTCAATAAACCTATATGTTGCCAGATTTTTACCAGTTAGATTGTTGTTAGATATGTTGCAAGTTTTGAAATTATATACATTAAAATTCTATTTGTCACAATTAAATCACAATAATATCAATAGCATAACCATCTCCCAAACATCCAGAAGGCTTGTCGTAACATGATACATCTCCTAAAGAAGATTTCTATGATATTTCCTGACAAAAGTGGACAAAATTTAGGATAATTAGTTAGTCCATGAATTAACTGCATGTAAATCTATACAGAGGTATTAATAATGTGAGCTTAAATTGTTGATATGAGCATTCATTTTGTTTGTACTCTATATATAGGTTGACAGTGAAGATCTAAAGTATTTTGGGGAAAATGAGTTCGAAATCTTCCAATCATCCTGATTGACCAGGAAGGTATTTACATTGTTATTGAAAAACATATTTTGATGTGGGCAGCAGTTGAAAAGATAGCTGATGCAGTTGTTGCCTTCCTGGCTTCATTCTATTTGTTGGACATTGACTATCCAAAACATCATGAAATAGAATTGCCAGTCCTGCAAGTTATAATTCTAAAAGACACTCAAGTGCCACAGGACATCAGTTTAGCTTGTATAAGCATGTTAAGGTCATATAAAGAAGTAGGTTGAACTTTTGTTAAGTAAAATATCCATGTATATTATTACTCATATTATAAAAGCATATATTACTAGGATTTTCAGCTATTTTTAATAGTCAAAATTGTCTCATTTGAAGTTATTTATTCTCAAAACAAGGATGTTTTTCTTGAAATAAAATTTTTTTCTTATATGTAAAAAATATTTTCTCATTTTTTAGGTGTAATTTTATCTAACTTAGACATTATAATTTCTTATGAAAGATGTTTTCTTAAAACAAGAAAATAGGTTTTAAGAAAAATTTTCTCATTCTGAAAAAAATTCTTGCTCAGAAAATATTTCTTGCTATTCTCCCACTTTCTTATAACAAGAATATTTTTCTTAATATAAGTAAATATTTCTCAAATTAAGTTAATTTTTCTTAAAAAATAGTTACTATATTTCTTGTTTTAAGATTATTTTTCTCCAAAATTTCTTGTTTTAAGAAAACATTTTTTCTTAAAAAAAGAAAATATTTTCTTGATATGTTTTCTTAGCGAGAAATTATTTCTTGCTATTCTCCCATGAAAATTTTTCTCATTTCAAGATAAAAAATCTTGAAATGAGTTTTTTTTCTCAAAATAAGAAAGCGACTTTTTGCTGTGTAAAACGCTATATATATGTTGATGATATGATGAAATCAAGTGAAACAACCAGATGAAGCTGTGGCTTTAGTACAAGAAAGTCGTGAACTACTAGCAAAGGGGGGATTTCGACTCACGAAGTGGTATAGTAACAATAGAAAGGTACTAGCTTCCATTCCGGAGAGTGAGAGAGCGAAATCAGTGGCCGATCTCGATGTAGAGAAACTTCCGATTGAAAGTGCACTTGGGTTGAAGTGGAACACAGAGGATGATACTTTCATTTGGGACGTTACTGAAAAATTGCCTCGCTTCTTTAACACAGAACCAGTGACGCGAAGAGCTCTGGTATCGGCTGTATACTCGTTGTTCGATCCGCTAGGATTCATAGCACCATACGTCATGAAAGCTAAGTTATTGTTACAAATGCTATGTAGGAAAGGAATCGGATGGACGATCCCCTCGGAGAAGATGAATGTGCCCAGTGGAAACGGTGGTTGGAAGATCTTTCAAAGTTGTGTGAAATACGCGTGAAACGGTGTTTCAAACCTGATGAACTCGGCGATATTGTGGAGATACAACTACACCTTTTTTCCGACGCATCGAGAGTTGGATATTCGGCAGTCGCATTTCTTCGTCTTACTGACAATAAAAATCAAATATACTGCGCGTTCGTTATGGGGAAAGCTCGATTGGCACCTAACCGTGAAATTTCTATCCCTCGGCTGGAACTGACAGCTGCCGTTATATCAGTGAAATTATCAAAGATAATACGAGACGAGTTAGATTTGGAAATCGGAAGAATTTCTATTGGACAGACTCTACATCTGTTCTAAAATGTATCAACAATGAGACCAAGAGATTTTATACGTTTGAGTCGAACCGTCTAACCATCATTCACAATGGTTCGGAAGTTAATGAATGGAAATACGTTAATCGGAAGATAACCCAGCAGACGATGGATCAAAGGACTTAAACTGGACAATTTATTAAAGAACAATCGTTGGTTGCAAGGACCTGAATTTTTGTGGAAAAACGAAGACTATTGGCCGAAGAGGGAAGAGATACCGATCATGAAGGAAGACGATCCTGAAATCAGAAAAGAAGCCCGTATTTACACTGCAGCAACTAGTGTTCATCCCGTGGAAAGATTGATCTCATATTTCTCTATGGTGGAAGTTGAAGCGTGCGGTAGCGTGGTTGTTGCGTTTAAAGAACAACTTCGGATGAAGTTACAGCTACGAAAGATTGCAACAGAAGATATTGAAGCACACTGGAACAAGGAAGAATTGTTGTCAACGCAATTGACCTTGAATGAGCTACATGCAGCGGAGGAAGAAATACTACAACGAGTACAGAGAGCAGCGTTTCCTGATGAGCTGAAAACGGTTCAAGTCCAAGACAATCAAAATTCGAAGAAATCACTAAAGAAAAAAGGATCAGCTCTTCGTCAGTTAAATCCATTCATAGGTTATATTTTCATGTTACGAGGGTTCGAAATATACATTACATATATTAGAATAATTTTATGAATTATATAGTGTGTATAGACACTGTATATACACACATACTATATACATATATTATATGGTTCTATGGTTATAGTTATATGGATAGTGGTTATTAGTTATATGGTTAGTGGTTATGTGGTTATATGGTTATGTGGTTATATGGTTAGTGGTTATATGGTTATATGGTTATATGGTTATGTGGTTATCTGGTTACATGGTTATGTGTTATGTGGTTAGTGGTTATATAGTTAGGTGGTTATATGGTTATGTGGTTATATGGTTATGTGTTATATGGTTATATGGTTATATGGTTATATGGTTATGTAGTTATATGGTTATATGGTTATATGGTTATGTGGTTATATGGTTATATGGTTATGTGGTTCTATGGTTATATGGTTATATGGTTATATGGTTATGTGGTTATATTGTTATGTGGTTATATGGTTATATGGTTATATGGTTATGTGGTTATATGGTTATGTGGTTATATAGTTATATGGTTATGTGGTATATGGTTATATGGTTATATGGTTATATGGTTATGTGGTTATATGGTTATGTGGTTATATGGTTATATGGTTATGTGGTTAGTGGTTATATGGTTATATGGTTATGTGGCAATGTGGTTATATGGTTATGTGGTTATATGGTTATATGGTTATATGGTTATATGTTATGTGGTTATATGGTTATATGGTTATATGGTTATATGGTTATATGGTTATATGGTTATGTGGTTATATCGTTATGTGGTTATATGGTTATATGGTTATGTGGTTATATGGTTATATGGTTATATGGTTATGTGGTTATATGGTTATGTGGTTTTGTGGTTATATGGTTATGTGGTTATATGGTTATATGGTTATGTGGCTATGTGGTTAGTGGTTATATGATTATGTGGTTATGTGGTTATGTGGTTATATGGTTATGGGTTATGTTGTTATATGGTTATATGGTTATATGGTTATGTATTTAGTGGTTTATGGTTATGTGGTTATATGGTTATATGGTTATATGGTTATATGGTTATATGGTTATATGGTTATATGTTATATGGTTATATGGTTATGTGGTTATATGGTTATGTGGTTATGTGGTTATTTGGTTATGTGGTTATGTGGTTATATGGTTAGTGGTTATATGGTTATTGGTTATATGGTTAGTGGTTACATGGTTATGTGGTTATGTGGTTAGTGGTTATATGTTATGTGGTTATGTGGTTAGTTGTATGGTTATATGGTTAGTGGTTATATGGTTATGTGGTTATTGTTAGTGGTTATATGGTTATGTGGTTATGTGGTTATGTGGTTATGTGTTATATTGTTATATGGTTATATGGTTATATGGTTATATGGTTATATGGTTTTATGGTTATGTGGTTATGTAGTTATATGGTTATTGGTTATATGGTTATATGGTTATATGGTTATATGGTTATATGGTAATGTGGTTAGTGGTTATATGGTTATGTGGTTATTTGGTTATATATTTATATGGTTATGTGGTTATATGGTTTTGTGGTTATATGGTTATGTGGTTATATGGTTATATCGTTTTATGGTTATGTGGTTAGTGGTTATATGGTTATGTCGTTATATGGTTATATGGTTATATAGTTATGTGGTTAGTGGTTATATGGTTAGGTGGTTATATATTTATGTGGTTATGTGGTTATGTGGTTATGTTGTTATGTGGTTAGTGTTATATGGTTATGAGGTTATGTGGTTATAAGGTTATGTGGTTATTGGTTATATGGTTATGTGGTTATATTGTTATATGGTTATGGGTGATGTGGTTATGTGTTATATGGTTAGTGGTTATATGGTTATTGGTTAGATGGTTAGGTTACATGGTATGTGGTTATGTGGTTAGTGGTTATATGGTCATGTGGTTATGTGTTAGGTTATATTTATATGGTTAGTGGTTATATGGCTATATGGTTATGTGGCTATGTGGTTAGTGGTTTATGATTATTTTGTGGTTATGTGGTTATGTGGTTATGTTGTTATATGGTTATATGGTTATATGGTTATGTATTTAGTGGTTATATGGTTATGTGGTTATATGTTATATGGTTATATGGTTATATGGTTATATGGTTATATGGTTATATGGTTATGTGGTTATATGGTTATGTGGTTATGTGGTTATTTGGTTATGTGGTTATGTGGTTATATGGTTAGTGGTTATATGGTTATTGGTTATATGGTTAGTGGTTACATGGTTATGGTTATGTGGTTATGTGGTTAGTGGTTATATGGTTATGTGGTTATTGGTTAGTTGTTATATGGTTATATGGTTAATGGTTATATGGTTATGTGGTTATGTGGTTAGTGGTTATATGGTTATGTGGTTATGTGGTTATGTGGTTATGTGTTTATATTGTTATATGGTTATACTATGGTTATATGGTTATATGGTTATATGGTTATATGGTTATGTGGTTATGTGGTTATGTGGTTATGTTGTTATATGGTTATATGGTTATATGGTTATATGGTTATGTATTTAGTGGTTATATGGTTATGTGGTTATATGGTTATATGGTTATATGGTTATATGGTTATATGGTTATGTGGTTATATGGTTATGTGGTTATGTGGTTATTTGGTTATGTGGTTATGTGGTTATATGGTTAGTGGTTATATGGTTATTGGTTATATGGTTAGTGGTTACATGGTTATGTGGTTATGTGGTTATGTGGTTAGTGGTTATATGGTTATGTGGTTATGTGGTTAGTTGTTATATGGTTATATGGTTAGTGGTTATATGGTTATGTGGTTATGTGGTTAGTGGTTATATGGTTATGTGGTTATGTGGTTATGTGGTTATGTGTTTATATTGTTATATGGTTATACTATGGTTATATGGTTATATGGTTATATGGTTATATGGTTATGTGGTTATGTGGTTATATGGTTATGTGGTTATATGTTATATGGTTATATGGTTATATGGTATGTGGTTAGTGGTTATATGGTTATGTGGTTATTTGGTTATATTTATATGGTTATGTGGTTATATGGTTATATGTTATATGGTTATGTGGTTATATGGTTAGTGGTTATATGGTTTTGGTTATATGGTTAGTGGTTACATGGTTATGTGGTTACATAGTTATGTGGTTATTTGTTATGTGGTTATGTGGTTATGTGGTTATATGGATATGGTTATGTGGTTATACGGTTATGTGGTTATATTTTATGTGTTATATGGTTATGTAGTTAGTGGTTATATGGTTATATGGTTATGTGGTTATATGGTTTTATGGTTATGTGGTTATGTGGTTATGTGGTTATGTGTATATTGTTATGGTTATACTATGGTTATATGGTTATATGGTTATATGTTTATATGGTTATTGGTTATATGGTTATGTGGTTATGTTGTTATATGGTTATATGGTTATATGGTTATGTATTTATGGTTATATGGTTATGTGTTATATGGTTATATGGTTATAGTTGGTTATATGGTTATGTGGTTATATGGTTAGTGGTTACATGGTTATGTGGTTATGTGGTTATGTGGTTAGTGGTTATATGGTTATGTGGTTATGTGGTTAGTGGTTATATGGTTATATGGTTAGTGGTTATATGGTTATGTGGTTATGGTTAGTGGTTATATGGTTATGTGGTTATGTGGTTATGTGGTTATGTGTTATTGTTATATGGTTATACTATGGTTATATGGTTATATGTTATATGGTTATATGGTTATATGGTTATTTGTTATGTGGTTATATGGTTATGTGTTATATGGTATATGGTTATATGGTTATATGGTAATGTGGTTAGTGGTTATATGGTTATGCGGTTTTTTGGTTATATATTTATATGGTTATGTGGTTATATGGTTATATGGTTATATGGTTATGTGGTTATATGGTTAGTGGTTATATGGTTATTGTTATATGGTTAGTGGTTACATGGTTATGTGGTTATGTGGTTATGTGGTTAGTGGTTATATGGTTATGTGGTTATTGGTTAGTTGTTATATGGTTATATGGTTAGTGGTTATATGGTTATGTGGTTATGTGGTTAGTGGTTATATGGTTATGTGGTTATTTGGTTATGTGGTTATGTGGTTATATGGTTAGTGGTTATATGGTTATTGGTTACATGGTTAGTGGTTACATGGTTATGTGGTTATGTGGTTATGTGGTTATGTGGTTAGTGGTTATATGGTTATGTGGTTATGTGGTTAGTTGTTATATGGTTATATGGTTAGTGGTTATATGGTTATGTGGTTATGTGGTTAGTGGTTATATGGTTATGTGGTTATGTGGTTATGTGGTTATGTGTTTATATTGTTATATG